GAGGACCGTGCCACCAAATTTGAGAAGAGGCCAACTCCGAAGGAGAAAGCCCCCTACTACCTAAATCAGCAGGATTGTCCTCAGATCGAACATGAAACCATTTATTTTGCCCAACATTCTCTTGAATGCGACATACCCTATTGGCAACGAAAGTAGACCATGTAGATGGCGTTTTTTGAAGCCAAGAAAGGACGATCGTAGAATCTGTCCAACAAAAGATATTATTAAAAGATATGTCAATTTCACTCAAAATACCCTTGACTAGTTCTGATGCTAATACAGCACCGCATAATTCTAAACGAGGTAGGGAAATGGACTTAAGCCGAGCTACTTTTGTTTTGCAAGTCAGCAAATTTGTGAAAATTTTCCCATTTGAAGCAACGACACGAATGTACGCTACCCCCGCGTATGCCTTTTCCGAGGCATCGGAAAAGACATGAAGTTCGACATCACAAAGAGGTGAATATTGGACCCAACGAGGAATGGATATGGAATTAACACCCTGATAGGAAATCACAAATTTTTCCCATTCGCGTTCTGTCGAAGACGGAAGCGAATCGTCCCAACCAATGTTGTCTAGCCAAATACGCTGCATGATGATTTTTGCTACAACAATTACTGGTCCTAACCATCCTACTGGATCGAAGAGCCTGGCGATGGTTGACAAAACTTCCCGTTTAGTATATTTGGACCGGTGTTCCAGAGGGTTAACACTGAAATAGAAATGGTCCAACTGTGCATTCCAGCGAATGCCCAGCGGTTTTGAACTACTAGCTTCCACGAAAGTGAGAAGCTTAGCATCATATAGGTGATCTAAGGGAAGACAATCTAAAATTTCTCGATTATTGGCTGTCCATTTACGAAGTTCAAACTTCGCGGAAGAAAGAGCACCAATGAGTTGGTCTCTTGATTTTTGCGCTGTCTCCAAATCGTGATAACCAGCCAAGACGTCATCTACGTACATGCACTTCCGAAGGATATGTGCAGCTAGCGGAAATTCATTTTCTGTATCATCGGCCAATTGAAGTAAAGTCCGAATCGCAAGATAAGGAGCACAGTTTACTCCGAAGGTTACCGTTAGAAGTTCAAAGTCTTGAACCGGTTTGTTGGGAGAATCCCGAAATAAAATTCGTTGGAGAGGCGTATGAGCAGAATCGACCCGAATTTGCCTGTACATTTGCGTTATGTCGCAATTGAATACAACAAAAGTCTCCATCTTAGAATAAGAAGGACTAGGTCCAACTGAAGAGTTGGGCCGACATAGAGAATATCGTTAAGACTATTCCCGTTGGAAGTCTTGTTCGAGGCATTGAAAACCACTCGCAATTTTGTTGTTTGCTTATCCGGATTAATAACCGGATGGTGAGGAAGATAGCAAACTGTAGAGCTTGCTGACGAAGTCGAAACCAGTCTCATGTGGTCTAATTCTAAATATTCCCGGACCACCCCATCGTAAATTGTTTTAATTTGCGGTTTTCTTAGGAGTGACGCCTCATTTCGAAAGAATTGTCGTAAGCAATTGGTCCTAGAATGACCAAGCTGGCCTGAGAATTCAGGAATGATAGGAAGTGTGACAATATATCTGCCTTCTGAGTCCCGTCGAGTCGTCTTTTTGAAATTTTCCTCACAGAATTTGTCCGAAGGAGACAAGATAGCGCGTTTTGGAGGTTCTTCCAATTCCCAGAATCGAAGAAGAGTCTTGTTAAGATCTTCTTCCGGAAAGTTGATAGTGGTTGTTAAAACCGTAATTGTAGAATTGGGAATGGGACCAGTAATGATCCAGCCGAAAACAGTTCTCTGTGCCATTAAAGAACCTAAGATGTTCGATTGAATTCCCTGTAAAAGGATTCTAGGATATAAATCAGCGCCTAGTAGAAGGTCAACTGGTCTAGAATCGCAGAAGTTTCTATCTGCCAAACGAATATTTGGCAAACGGGTAATTATGTCACCACCTATGGAAATGGAGGGTAAATTACCAGAAATAGCGGGAACCACTAGAGCTGGGATTTCAAAGAAAATTGATGAGTCGATAGGAGAACCTATGCATATTGAGCACAATTTTCTGGATGTAGTGGAAACACTTTGATTAACGCCAGAAATCGTCGAAATATGATACACTTGCCGATTGACAGAGTGGGATATACCTGACGAAGTCGAGGGAATATTTGGATTCGCATTGATGGATTGGTTAGAAGTTGTTGGCGACGGAGTCGCTGCTGGTGTAGAATTTGCGTGATTTGACATCTCACGATGTAAAAGTGTGTGATGTCGCTTATTGCATTTCCCACAATTGTGTTTACTTACACATTTTTTAACTTCATGACCAACCGTCAGACAGTTCAGACAACAATTGAAGCGTTTGAGCACTGAAAAACGACCTTCTATGGATAATTTTTTGAACTCTGGACAAAAGCGCAATGGATGAACCAATTTAGAACAGAGAATGCAAGATTTAAATGAAGAAGCGCTTGAAGACACAGAAGGTACGGACTTTGTTAGGTGAGTCCGCACTTTTTTCTCAACCTTTTTTGACGAGTCAATGCCACGAATGTCTCGGAGACAAGTAAGGGTCTGGATCCTTTCCGTAAGAAAACGATCCAAATCCTTCCAATCAGACAAAGCCGACTTGTCTTTGACCGTCTGCTCCCAAAGCGGGACCGTGTTCTTAGGCAATCTTTGAATGCATATGAAGACTAATATGGGATCCCAGTCGTTCGTAGAAACGTCATAGATCGCCATAGCCGAAATGCATCCATTGATTGCTCGTTGTAAATTTTTCAAACCAGCACTGGACTCATTATCGAGAACTGGAAGATCAAAGAGCAATTTCAATTGGTTGTTAACCAAGATTCGGACATTGTCATATGTCTCCTTTAAGGCCTGCCACGCTAAAGCGAAACTTTTGTGTGTCAGCGGAAACTTTGAAATGATGTCTTTGGCTTCCCCACTAGTTTTCTTAAGTAAATAACACAATTTTTCAATGTTACTAAGTCGACTGTTGTTGATGTATACCGCAGAGAAAAGATCCCTAAAGGTAGGCCAGGAAAGGAAATCGCCGTTGAAAACATCTATATCACATGGTGGTAGATTCAGACTATGCATTACATTGTCATTTGAAGCGAAAACTTCAACTGACGGTTCCGCATGACGCGATACGCCAGACAGAGACAAAAGTTCTGCATGAGGGGGAGAACTAACTCGAGGAGTGCTAGTCACGTTAACACCATGAACACCTATCTGGGAAGCCTGTGAATTCGAACGTTGAGACTGCTGGGTACTATTCAAACTTTGGACCAACGAAGGATTAGAATTTTTTTGTAAGGTACGTAATTGGTCCAATCTACGATTTATTGAAGCAATGACGTTTACATATGCCCTATACGCAACGTCATATTTACTTTCTGCAGATGTGATGTCTTCGCTTTCAGCATCTTCAGAAGTTTGGAGATATGTAAGACATCGGTCAAACATTTCCTTCACTTTACTCCACAATTCCCTTGCCTCAGCGGCCTGAACATCAAGGGAATATATGTCCAACTCTTCCTCTCGAAGAGAAGTAAAGTTGGCTTCAAATTTTACCAGAGCATCAGTTGCTCTGATAAAGAAATCAAGTGGAGATAGTGGCATTGTGAATTAGAAAGCTTTATGAATTTGGCCAAAGAGAACAAGAACTGAATTTAAAAATCGCAAATCTGAAAATATCAGTGTAAACAAACTTTAAATTGTTAAAACTCAACGAAAATTGAGTGAAATTGTTCAAATTTATATTGAAACAGCACGAAAATGCTTTTATCTGTTAGTGAATGCAAACAAATACAACACCCAACTAGATAAAGAAACTTTTTTTTTTTTAAATTTAAAAAAAAAGTGATGAGAAAATGTAAATAAATTTTCTCGGTAATGAAAATCGAAAAGATGTATCGAATAATACACTCTTGTTTTTACGAGTATAAAAAAAATACCAAAAACTTGAAGAAGTATTTGCAAATTTGACAAACTTTGTTTCGTTAGGCGTTTCAGTGTATCGAAAAATACAGAGAGTTTCATTTGTGTATCGAAATATACACAACAAAATTATTTCCGAAAAGAAATAATTTAAATTTAAATTAAATTAAATTAAATTTTAAAATTAAATTTTAAATTAAAAAATAATAATAACAATACTTAATTGTATGAACTATATTAGGTTCTGGGTAATTTTCATTCCATTCACATGGAACTTAATTTCATAAGCGCAGTGGTAAATAGATTTCCCTCGTTCGATGAGGCGTATAATTACTATAATTTATTTACATTCACATTTAATTAATCATACGCCCCAAGGTTCTCCACAATGCGAAGTGAAAAATGTATGCAAATATTGAATTGCAACAAAACACTGTTGCATATCCAACTATTAATTACAAAACATTTAAAAATTTTCAAATGATTTAAGATTTACATTTCAATACTAATAAATATTATAGTTTTCATTATGGTATCAATTAAATTGCCGTTACTAAATTACGTTTTATATGGTTTGAACTGAAATAAAAATATTAAATATTTAGTGCTTTTATATTTCGACTGTCTTTGTTTAACAGCAAAAATATAATTTTAAAATAGAATTATTACAGTCGAATAAAAGTGTGTCGGCTTCTTTCGTTTGCATCTGAAATAATCAGTGTTAAGGTTTCTTTAATTTTTTTTTAGAGTTTAAAAAAATTAAAGCCTCAAGTGTGACATGCATCGAAATGCCGCTAATAACAAGGCTATGTATTTATTTATGCAAATTATTGAATATTAAAATGTCATGGTACAAGACTTGTCAACTAATGCATACATCATTTGATCTTCTTGACAAAAAGTTCCACATCGTTAATTTTCTGACTCATTGTTTTTTGGTATGTATTAGCAGGTTCGTGTTACAGTCAGTTTTTTATAATTTAGAAAATTAAGAACCATAATAATACAAAAATGAAATGTAATATTAATTTATGTATTTTTTTATTTCATTTCAGTGATTTGTTGGCCGTTTGCAAATTGAAGGTGAGTTTATGTTTGTAAGTTTTTATTATTATTTCTGAAATACCACACCTGCTTTACCCCAGGCACTCGTACATTTTTTTGAAAATGTTGAAAAATGATGAAAACAAAATTAAATTTGATAATGCAACTTCTCCAATCGTGTATGATGAATGAATGACATTCAGTTTCAAAAATTTTCCTTTTTACACCCTACACCAGATCAAGGTAAGGGTGTTATGTCTTTGTGTCTTTGATTGAAACATGGAGAAGGAGCGAGAATCACTTTCTGAGCCGATTTATTCATGTCAATCCATGTATTCTTGTGCACAAAATGCAGGTCGTACTTTTATATTTAATTGTGGTGAAATTTTCCAAACAATATTTGTTAGGCCCAAGGGCGAACCCTATTCCAATTTGTGGGAATCGGTTCAAATTTAAATATAGCTCCCATATATATCTTCAACCGATTTCGGGTTAATTGTGCACCAAATGGCAAAGATCAGTCCAAATGACCTAGATTTTGTCACATTCGACCGAATTCAGTCTAGAAGAAATTACATCAAATTTGGTGAAAATCGGTTCAGATATAGCTATAGCTCCCATATATAGCTTTCATCCGATTTGGTGTTTAAGTCCCTTACATTCGTAATTTGCATTCGACAATAATGATATTTGGTACCAGATGTCTTATAGAGCTCGGAAATACCTTTGTGAAATTTTATCGGTTCAGATGTGGATATAGCTCCCATATATAACTTTAATTCAATTTCAGATCTATTGTGCAAATAATGACTAATATCAGCCCAAATGAATCGAATTCTAACTGTCCCGTCTGATTTCGACATAAAAGCAGATGCTTCAAATTTCGGTTAAAAGCGGTTTAGATATAGCTACGTTCCTATATATATGTTTCATCCGATTTGGTGTTAAAGTCCCTCATATGCGTAATATGCCATCCACACAACAATGATATTTGATAGCGGGCATCAGATACAGCTCGAAAATATGTCTGCCAAATTTTTCGAGATCGGTTCAATTTTTTGTGTAGCTTCAATATACATCTTCATCCGATTTTATGGATACTGCTCCCCATCTTGAATAGATTTTCTCATATTCAACCGAATTTTACCATTTGGTGTCCGGTCCGGTATATATTGCTCCAATAAATATTTTATAATATATTCCTTATCGAAGTCATACTTTTTTGTTACGGAACCTCTACTAAATACGCATTGTGGTGTAGGGTAGCATATAGTCTGCCTTAGCTGAATTTTGGCCTTTCTTTACTGGTTTTAAGATGTGTCTCTTACAACTATCAGCATATTTTTTTTAGATATTTATTTATTTTATTTAATTATTTTTTTTTTGAGGTATATATGTACTTCCTATCCTCATAATCATAGTCGTGCATTTTTTGAAGAATATGTTTTCAAGCTCTAACAATCACAGTAAGGATTTTTGTATCGATAGTTGTGTTTTTGGATTGAATAATTTTTAAGTACTTTCACAATACTCTCTTTTTTGATTTTTTTTTAAGAATGCCTTTCAAGGATTATTCTTTAACAATAATTATTGATTTTTGAAAGTTAATTTCCAATAATTATTTTTAAGGACTATTCCAGCAATAATTGTTAATTGTTGTTAATAAATTTCCATCGAAGAAGAATCATTTTAAGGACTATCACAGCAATAATTGTTCGTTTTGTTCAAAAGAATAATTTCCCAAGGACAATTACAGAAATAATCGTGGATTTTTTAAATATTTTTAAAAAATACTTTTTAGGGAAAATCTCGGCAATAATTGTAGATATTTCTATTCATCGTTAAAAAAAATGTAAAGCCTAATACATGAATAATTGTTATATTTTTTTGGAGATTTTGGAGAATGTAAAAGCTAATACACTAATAATTGTTATTTTTTTGAGATTTTTCTCAAAGAGTATTGTTCTTTAGGACCATCGAAAAGTATCATTACTTTTTCGGGGGTTTTTATGTTGTTTATGTTTAAAAAAAATTAGGTAACACTATCTCAAATAAGAGAATTCTTAAAAAAATATTTTTCAAAGAATAATTTGAGGGCATAATTAAAAAATCCGATGAAGATGCAAATATTAACCCCTAGACTCACTAAGACCCGCATTGGTATAGTTTGAGCGTCTGAATCCGGTTTACCTTTGATATCACTAAAATTGGCCAGTAGTGGATGTCACTTCGAAATGGGGAGCAAACTCAAGGTCCATGGTTTATCTCCTATCTAGACAGGGAACCAAAAGTCGGTGGAAGCATCCCAAACACTGTTGTTCCCAAATCAGAAAAAAAATAGTTGTTGTCAGAATTTCATTTGAGAAAATCTGGTATAAAAAAGTTTACAGATGTCGGAATTTTAGTTTTATGTAATAAAATTGTTCGCATTTTCGATTTTTATTTTGAAAGATGCTTTTAAAACACACCCTTTAATTTTTATTTTCGTACTTGTTGCAGCTTACAGAGCATAACAATTTAAATCTCAAGAAGAACTTTTTCACTTTCCAAAAAACTTTTTAAATCTCATAATGTTTTCTCTTCATTGAAATTTCGAATAATTTAACCTTTAAACGATTCGCGATGCCAATGCGAAATAAAAAAGTAAATAAATTAATGTTGTCTGTTAGGCAGCCAGCCAGCAAAGCAAGCAAAAATTATTGTCTTTTACGACTTAAGCACTCAGGCAAATTGGGAACTTGTTGCTATGTTGCCACCAAACAATGCTGATGGATGTGACGACGAAGAGGAGGATGATGATGGTGATGAGGGCGATGACGATGACGATAACGCCGTGTATTTTACTTTCGACTGCCTTTCAATCATAAATATTGAACCTTAACACAGAAAGCAAGGCGCCTTTGGGAAATGAAAGGAAGTCCTTGAATGCCATGCCAAGTCATGCTGTTGTATAAAGGCTTATAAAGTTAAAAAAGCATGCCGTAATAAAAACAAAAACAGACATGAAAGAGGAAGAACAACAAATATGACAGGGAAGCAAAAAAAAAAAAAAAAAAAAAAACGTCGATAAACGAACGATCCGAACAATAAACAAAGTATCAATAACAAAGAACGGAAGAAATATTGGATGTCTTTAATTTTTGACAATTTTGTTGAATTTGAAAAATTGTCAATGTTGAGATGTAACCAGGAGGGAGGATATTGTTCGACTATGAAATTAAGAGGAATTGCCATAATGGTAACTCATTAAATTCTAACAATCAATAGATTATGGAGATTTTTTTTTGGAAATGTTTGGACAAAGAAGTGCGAGGCATATAAAAGTGATTTATTCTAATGACAAGCAGTTAAATTGAAATATTTGGTAAATGGAGGTTGTTAAATTAAAATTGTGGAAATTTGTGAAAAAATTCCTTGAAATTTTCTATTGACAAAAATTAATTGATGTTCTGACTGAGAAATTACCATGACGCACTTCAAAAATATATTTATGGGCATTGAATTCAAGCAATTTTTCAGGAATAAAATTTAAAGACTTTCTTAAATTCGCTTTAGATTTTACAGATTTGGATTATCTTCCTAAGATTATGCAGGGTGAGATGAAAAAACTACAACCAACTTCAGACTGCTGTCATTTCCAAGCCACTAGTCCGACAGCTGTTAAAATTATTCCAGTGACAGCTCATTGTATTGTTTACAAGCTTACAAAAGCATTTTGGTGGGAATTTGCCAGAAAAAAGTTATTCGAGATGGAATTCAAGCGATCGTGTGATTTCTTTATATTTGGCGGAACACAACATGTGGCTATCGTTAGAGCACTCCAGCATTTAAATGTGAATAAATCTTTTGTGTCTCGTACCATCGCTCGTTACCGTGATACTGGTAGCGTAGCCCGACGTCAAGGAAGTGGACGGAAGAAAACAGCAACATCAGCAGAAAGGGTTCGAAAAGTAAAAAAGCGACTTGATCTAAACCCTCGTCGCAGTGGCCGAAAATGGCTTGAGAGCTGAACATATCGCAATATTCCATTTGGCAAATATTGAAAAATGAGCTCAGGGTTGGCCACCAGAACTCAAGCGTCGGCCATGGTGATAGTGTGGACCGCCATAACAGCCGATGGTCGCTCTCTGCTCGTATTAATCGACTGGGGCATCAGAATAAATGCCGAATATTATCGCGAAAATATTATGAGGGTATATTAAAGCTTTGGGCATGCAAATATTTTAGCCGCAGACCGTGGACATTCTAACAGGTCTCAACACCGTCGCACTCAGTACGCGCCCACCCAAGAATGGTTACAAAATGAGGTTTCTCGCTTTAATTCCAGCACACAATGGCCACTAAAGTCTCCGGATACCAATCATTTGGACTATTGTGTCCGGAGTATTTTGGAAAGTAAGTTTGGCACTAAAAAATACCAAAGTGTCGCTCAAGCAAGCGCTTCGCCGGGAATGGGCCAAAATATCGCAGAGCAACATTCGGGCAACGTGTGATGGTTTCATTGGTCGTTTGAAGGCCATAATTCGTGCCAAATATGCCCAATTCGAACAAATCTAAACTTATTCTAAAATAGAACAGTGTTGGCTTCTTTGTTCGGGATACCATAGAATTTTGTTGTTGCAAGATGGTCAGGCAAGGCACGATCGCCGAAGGGGCTCTTGTTGTAACAGACAAAACCAACTTATATTGTTATGCAACTTCGTTCTGGTAGAACGAAAGCATAACAAGTGGAGAGAGATGAAATTGTTTATAAGTGTGGTTATAAGATTTAGAAGATTTTCGAAAATAATTTTAGTTTTATTTAATTCTTTGGTTTCTCTTCTATTGAGCTGACGATCTCGTCACTTGGGTAAAAAATGTTTTTTTGTCATAGAAGTAATTTTTAAAATAACTTCTGGGGAGAATATCCCAGACAAAAAACAAGGGAACTGATGAGGATTGGTGGCTCTTTCCGAAACCTAGGTATTCCCTGCCTTACCCCCTTGTAAACATTACCATCGTTCTCCACTAATAAACAAAAGTTGTTTTTATAAAAGGAA